AAAAGGTCAAGAAGGGAGAGGGTTGACATGTCGTGGGGTTGTTAACCAATGTCATAAAACAATATGTGTACTACTGTTGAATGAGAAACTATTTGTTCTGTAAACCTTCACCTGAAGTACAATAAAAAAAATTTTAAAAAACTCTGAAAAACTAAAAAAAAATGAAATAGGACAAAAGCTGGAAACAGATGTCCATCTATAGGGAAAGGTTGAACTGTGTCCCATCCGTAGTGTAGAATGTAGCAACAGGTGAAAAGAATGAGGCAGATCAGTGTGTACTGACATGAGAAGAGCTCTGTATTCTTAAGTATAAAAAGCAAGTTTCAAAACAATGTTAATAGTGAAGTCAAATTTATCTTAAAAACAAAATGAGTTCCTAAGTGAATACACACGCACACAGGAAAAAGTTAAGAAATGCGCCAAACTCTCCCCTGAGAGCATTAGAATAGGGAGACAAGGGAAGATTTCTTTCTTGTGTATATTTTTATAATGAGAATATATTCATGATTTGAGGAATTAAAAATGTTATATATATGAAAATCAAGCCAAAAAGGAGAGATTGCCTTTTGTGTGTGTGTGTGTGTTTTAGGTGAAAGTTTACACAACAAATTAGATTCCCATTCAATAGTTCATACACAAATTGTTCCCTGATGTTGGTTACAATCCCCACAATGTGTCAGCACTCTACCATTTCCACCTGCCTGCCCCATCCATCCAGTTTCCCTGCCCTCCTTGTCTTCTCATCTTTGCTTTTGGGTAAATGTCCACCATTTGGTTTCATGTAGTTAATTGTTTAAAGGAGCACATTCCTCATGGGTGTTATGTTTATTTTATAGGCCAATCTATTATTTGGCTGAAAGGTGACCTCCAGGAATGACTTCAGTTCCAAGTTAAAAGGGTATCTTAGGCTGAAAGAGATTGCCTTTTATGAAGTGAAATAAGGCTGCTCCAAGAAATACATAATTCTCCATTTCTACCGCACTGGGCCTTAGAGCCAGAAAATACCTGAAGTCCTACTATCAAGGAAGAGCTTTTCCCTAGAGAACTAAATGTGGGAGAAGGGGAGAGGCTAACTCATCAGACATTTATTGAATTCCCTCTGCTGCATCCTAAGTGTCACCCTGGGTGCTGGGGTGAGGGACCCAGGGGCTGCAGGTAAGACACAGCCCACGTCCTCCAGTTCACAACCCAGGAGTCTGCAGATGGCTCTTCTCAGATGGCCTTG